TTCAATTATTCGTTTGTTTATGTCACCAGCCGTCGCAATTGTACCTCGTATTTTGTAAACTAAATCTAGGATCGACAACTGGAAAAATGAGAATATGTTTAAACCATTTAGCCAGGACGTCTAACTGGAAAATTATTATCATTATTGCTTACATTCCGCTTTGAAGTGTCGCCATCACCACACTTATATCTACACAGTATCGACATCACCACACTTATATCTACACAGTATCACCATCACCACACTTATATCTACACAGTATCGACATCACCACACTTATATCTACACAGTATCACCATCACAACACTTATATCTACACAGTATCACCATCACCACACTTATATCTACACAGTATCGACATCACCACACTTATATCTACAGAGTATCGCCATCACCACAGTATCGCCATCACCACACTTATATCTACACAGTATCACCATCACCACACTTATATCTACACAGTATCACCATCACCACACTTATATCTCCACAGTATCACCATCACCACACTTATATCTACACAGTACAACCATCATCACACTTATATCTACACAGTATCACCATCACCACACTTATATCTACACAGTATCACCATCACCACACTTATATCTACACAGTATCGACATCACCACAGTATCACCATCACCACACTTATATCTACACAGTATCGACATGACCACACTTATATCTACACAGTATCACCATCACCACACTTATATCTACACGGTATCGACATGACCACACTTATATCTACACAGTATCACCATCACAACACCTATATCTTCACAGTATCACCATCACCACACTTATATCTACACGGTATCACCATCACCACACTTATATCTACACTGTATCACCATCACCACACTTATATCTACACAGTATCGACATCACCACACTTATATCTACACGGTATCGACATCACCACACTTATATCTACACAGTATCGACATGACCACACTTATATCTACACAGTATCGCCATCACCACACTTATATCTACACAGTATCGACATCACCACACTTATATCTACACAGTATCATCATCACCACACTTATATCTACACAGTATCGCCATCACCACACTTATATCTACACAGTATCACCATCACCACACTTATATCTAAACTGTATCACCATCACCACACTTATATCTACACAGTATCGACATCACCACACTTATATCTACACGGTATCGACATCACCACACTTATATCTACACAGTATCGACATGACCACACTTATATCTACACAGTATCGCCATCACCACACTTATATCTACACAGTATCGACATCACCACACTTATATCTACACAGTATCGACATCACCACACTTATATCTACACAGTATCAGCATCACAACACTTATATCTACACAGTATCACCATCACCACACTTATATCTACACAGTACAACCATCATCACACTTATATCTACACAGTATCACCATCACCACACTTATATCTACACAGTATCACCATCACCACACTTATATATACACAGTATCACCATCACCACACTTATATCTACACAGTACAACCATCATCACACTTATATCTACACAGTATCACCATCACCACACTTATATCTACACAGTATCACCATCACCACACTTATATCTACACAGTATCGACATCACCACAGTATCACCATCACCACACTTATATCTACACAGTATCGACATCACCACAGTATCACCATCACCACACTTATATCTACACAGTATCGACATGACCACACTTATATCTACACAGTATCACCATGACCACACTTATATCTACACGGTATCGACATGACCACACTTATATCTACACAGTATCACCATCACAACACCTATATCTTCACAGTAACACCATCACCACACTTATATCTACACGGTATCACCATCACCACACTTATATCTACACAGTATCACCATCACCACACTTATATCTACACAGTATCGACATCACCACACTTATATCTACACGGTATCGACATCACCACACTTATATCTACACAGTATCGCCATCACCACACTTATATCTACACAGTATCGACATCACCACACTTATATCTACACAGTATCATCATCACCACACTTATATCTACACAGTATCGCCATCACAACACTTATATCTACACAGTATCACCATCACCACACTTATATCTACACTGTATCACCATCACCACACTTATATCTACACAGTATCGACATCACCACACTTATATCTACACGGTATCGACATCACCACACTTATATCTACACAGTATCGACATGACCACACTTATATCTACACAGTATCGCCATCACCACACTTATATCTACACAGTATCGACATCACCACACTTATATCTACACAGTATCATCATCACCACACTTATATCTACACAGTATCGCCATCACAACACTTATATCTACACAGTATCACCATCACCACACTTATATCTACACTGTATCACCATCACCACACTTATATCTACACAGTATCGACATCACCACACTTATATCTACACGGTATCGACATCACCACACTTATATCTACACAGTATCGACATGACCACACTTATATCTACACAGAATCGCCACAAACACACTTATATCTACACGGTATCGCCATCACCACACTTATATCTACACGGTATCGACATCACCACACTTATATCTACACAGTATCGCCATCCCAACACTTATATCTACACAGTATCGACATGACCACACTTATATCTACACGGTATCGACATCATCACACTTATATCTACACAGTATCGCCACAAACACACTTATATCTACACAGTATCGACATCACCACACTTATATCTACACAGTATCGCCACATACACACTTATATCTACACGGTATCGACATCACCACACTTATATCTACACAGTATCGCCACAAACACACTTATATCTACACAGTATCACCATCACCACACTTATATCTACACAATATCACCATCACCACACTTATATCTACACAGTATCGACATCACCACACTTATATCTACACAGTATCGCCACCACCACACTTATATCTACACAGTATCGACATCACCACACTTATATCTACACAGTATCGCCATCCCCACACTTATATCTACACAGTATCGACATCACCACACTTATATCTACACAGTATCGCCACCACCACACTTATATCTACACAGTATCGACATCACCACAGTCATATCTACACAGTATCACCATCACCACACTTATATCTACACAGTATCACCATCACCACAGTCATATCTACACAGTATCGCCATCACCACACTTATATCTACACAGTATCACCATCACCACACTCATATCTACACAGTATCACCATCACCACAGTCATATCTACACAGTATCACCATCACCACAGTCATATCTACACAGTATCACCATCACCACACTTATATCTACACAGTATCACCATCACCACACTTATATCTACACAGTATCACCATCACCACACTTATATATACACAGTATCACCATCACCACACTCATATCTACACAGTATCACCATCACCACACTTATATCTACACAGTATCACCATCACCACACTTATATCTACACAGTATCACCATCACCACAGTCATATCTACACAGTATCACCATCACCACAGTCATATCTACACAGTATCACCATCACCACAGTCATATCTACACAGTATCACCATCACCACACTTATATCTACACAGTATCACCATCACCACAGTCATATCTACACAGTATCACCATCACCAAAGTCATATCTACACAGTATCGACATCACCACACTTATATCTACACAGTATCACCAACACAACAGTCATATCTACACAGTATCACCATCACCACAGTCATATCTACACAGTATCACCATCACCACACTTATATCTACACAGTATCACCATCACCACAGTCATATCTACACAGTATCACCATCACCACAGTCATATCTACACAGTATCACCATCACCACAGTCATATCTACACAGTATCACCATCACCACAGTCATATCTACACAGTATCACCATCACCACACTTATATCTACACAGTATCACCATCACCACAGTCATATCTACACAGTATCACCATCACCACAGTCATATCTACACAGTATCGACATCACCACACTTATATCTACACAGTATCACCAACACCACAGTGATATCTACACAGTATCACCATCACCACAGTCATATCTACACAGTATCACCATCACCACACTTATATCTACACAGTATCACCATCACCACAGTCATATCTACACAGTATCACCATCACCACAGTCATATCTACACAGTATCACCATCACCACAGTCATATCTACACAGTATCACCATCACCACAGTCATATCTACACAGTATCACCATCACCACACTCATATCTACACAGTATCACCATCACCACAGTCATATCTACACAGTATCACCATCACCACAGTCATATCTACACAGTATCACCATCACCACAGTCAAGTCTACACAGAATCACCATCACCACACTTATATCTACACAGTATCACCATCACCACACTTATATCTACACAATATCACCATCACCACACTTATATCTACACAGTATCACCATCACCACACTCATATCTACACAGTATCACCATCACCACACTTATATCTACACAGTATCACCACCACCACAGTCATATCTACACAGTATCACCATCACCACACTTATATCTACACAGTATCACCACCACCACAGTTATATCTACACAGTATCACCATCACCACACTTATGTCTACACAGTATCACCACCGCCACAGTCATATCTACACAGTATCACCATGTCCCCATCAATCTATACTGGACGTAAGAGGTGACCAGGTGGATTGGGTGGTCAGGCTTACTTACTTGGTTGATTGGGTGTCATCGTACCCCGAAGCCATGGATCGTTGCTCACAATATCGATCCCTGGATTGTCTGGCCCAGAATCGATTATTCAAAGGCCGCTTTTATATAATATGAATACTGAATCTGCGTGGAACAACAAACAAGATAAACGAAAACCTATCACTGCACTTGTCTGCACAGTATCGCTACCACTGTGCCTATATCTTCACATTATCGTTATCTGGTCCATGCGAGAGGCGTTGTGTCGGCCGAAAATATCACAACGCTTACAAGCTGTGGCACACCTTATTTTGCCTGTGGTTGCCTGGAAAGGATATTATTCGCCACACGGTAATACATTTACCAGGTAAGTGGCCATTGTCAGTATAACGGTTACTTAAGGTATAGAAGGACGTTACATGTATGTATATTCTACTTCTTACGTCAGCATTAACAATAGCTGTCATCGAAGTCGGACCATATCATTTGGTGATTTAAATATCTTAAAGGGTCACCAAGAGACACATAAGGCTATTGCTGGTTATTTTGATACAATTTACTTGCGTCGATATGTGTCCCATATCTCCCTTGCCCTTGTAAGCGGCCCATCCTGCGTTAGGTTGTAATAGGATCGGTATGCACTTAAGATCGAACGCCCACAGTGGCCATGAGTTGCGTACAGGCAGACAAAGTGGTTTATAACTCCTAGATGATTTACACTTCCAACGAGTACTCCATATCCATGTCACATCTAATACTGTTCATTGATGGGCGTGGCCCGTCCCGGGTGGGGTCGCAGAGTCAACTTCCGGGTTGTTAGTTCTTGAGGCGTTATCAGTGATATCATATCAGCGCTGAAAAAGGCAAGTGTGAGGATTATATTCAGGAATAAGCTCACTTGCCGACATTGTAATGCTATAACAGGTCAGTCCTCCAGCCCTCCAGCGATATGTACTTAGTATAGGTGTTCACTCACAAAAAGGTTTGTGTGTTAACAATCTTTTATTTTTATCAGATTTTGTTTGCTCTGTTAACTGGGTGACGTACTTCTATACCCAGTAAAGCTTGACACAGCAGTCGAGGTTGGAGTTGACTCAAGGAGAGGGAGGTGTGTGGCAACGGTGTTTCACAAATCTTAGGGCTGTGGTTGAATATTGGTACATAGATAGAGATTATCATATTAACATGTGTGTCTTTTTGATTTTACGAAACGAGTGTCAGAATTCCTGTATTTCTCCAGCGAGAGAGAGGGCAGTAAAAACATGTTTAAACGTGTTGCGTAAAATCAGTACGACACACATGCGAATGAAATATTTTCTTTATTATTCATTATTTCTCAATCCTTTTGAGCTCCCCTTTAGAAGATTTCACTGATTACGACCGCCGTCTTAGGAAACCAAAATTGTCGAAAGACGTCATCAATTTTCAGCTATCACGTCGTTACTTGTGTGACGTCATCCCTCACGTCACAATACGCTTACGTCCACAATGCCGTCCAGATGACGTAAAGACTACACAGTGAAATTTAAGAAATAAACGAGAAGTGGGAGTTGTTTATTTCTTATACGAGATATTAACATTATGTACAGCTTTTTAGGTATGCTACTAAACGTACAAGCTTTAAACCCTACTTTAATAATGATGGCTCCATCATTAGAATCCGACCTCGGCAATGTCGCACAAGTCCATTTTATGCACCGGTGGGTATTTCCCGCATATTCTCACAATCCTCACGTTAATAACCTGTACCTTTTCTCCCAATACCGATCATCATATCTCTCCCGCATGTGGATACGATCGTTGAGCCCTCGCGTTAATCTGCATTGCCCAGCTACATCTATGGGGAACAACTCACTAGACACTCCCCTCTCAAACATAACGTCCTCCAATATACGACGTCATCAAGTTGCGAGTGCATGTTCGAATTTCCAGAAATGGCGTCATGATAGAACCATGTTTCATCGTGAAATAAACCACACTTCGTCCTTCATTGTTTTTTGCGATTTATCGCGTAGCTCTCCTGTACTGTATATGCACATACTATTTTTAACTCGGTTATTTCTAACCCGATAGAAAATAAAGGTATTTAAGCTGGGATGGCCTTGAAAGGAATTATCTGTTCCCGAAAATGATCGCAACAAATTGTTTGGTTTTAACATGGGTTATTATGATAATTATCAAATTCTGTGTCCGACAAAAAAAATATATTACTGCGATATGTTCAAGTTAATAATGTCTTCTATAATAGGTAGAAGGATTTAATTATATTATATTTAATTTTATTATTAATTACTGAGTAAATGTAAACATTGATGTACATTTATTTAACGTTACATTGATTTGCTTATTGACTATAATAATGAACTAAAAATACAAATGCTTATATGTTTCATGTTGGTCTGGCGTTAACAGAAAGAAGTAACCTCCCAAACATTCATGCCATATAAGGATTTCTTAAACGAAGACAAATACCCGCAGAAATCAACCCGGCAATGGATAAGCGGAAGAAGCTAGTGATTGTGGGAGACGGTGCTTGTGGGAAAACATGCCTTCTGGTGGTGTTCACCAAAGACGAGTTTCCTCAAGTCTACGTGCCAACAGTTTTCGAAACTTACATAGCCGACATCGATGTCAATGGTAGACAGGTAAGCATCACTGTGAGTGAGTGAGGTGCAACGGCGCTGTGGAAACTATGTATGGTGCTGACAGGCAATGATAACAAACACTGCGAATCTGGATTCACTGGATTCTGTCATGCCTAGGGGACGCAACTCTGCACAGTAAATCCGCGCCCAACAAAGATCGTGACCCGTTTCTGTAATTGGTGTGATGTGCAAGCATATTTACTGAAAAAATTGTGGATAAGACATTAAGGAAAGAAGATTGGATCAGTTGAGGTTACCTCCTTGCTGACATGTTTATGTACAGTAAACTACGGTTATACCGAGCACGCTTATAACGAACTAACGGATATAACGAACTAACTTTTTAGTCCCGACTATATGCTGTAGTTATACTGTATATATGCTTATAACGAATTACGGTTATAACGAACTAAAATTAGTAGTCCCTTTGAGTTCGTTATAACCGTAGTTTACTGTATGTATGTTGTTACCATGAGATTTCCATATTGAAGGCTAACCCAGACGTCAGTTCGTACAGAACTTAATTTGAAATCAGTAAATGACCACACCAATCACTGTATAATCCATTCATTATATAACATAAAGTTTTAGGGTTTACTATAAAAAAGGCAGTAAAATGGGTCATATATGTTTCAGCAGCAAGTACAGACTCATTAATTAATTGATTAGACCCGTGAAGATCCGGGGTAGAATAGGTCTTCAACAACCCATGCTTGCCGTAAATGGCGACTATGCTTGTCGTAAAAGGCGACTAACGGGGTGGGGTGATCAGGCTCGCTGACTTGGTTGATGCATGTCATCGATCCCAATTGCGTGGATCGATGCTCATGATATTAATAACTGGATTATCTGGTCCAGACTCGATTATTAACAGACCTCCGTCATATAACTGGAATATTGCTGAGTGCGGCGTTAAACAACAAACAAAACAACCAACCAATTATTGATTATATTGAAGGAAAAAGGATGTTTTACAAAGAGAGAAACCTACCCCTTCATCAACCTAGAATAACATGGAATGAGAACATGGTGGTTATCCATCTGTACACACACACACAATACTCCAAATAAATTATCATTAATCATCGTCAAAACAAGTTATCATTAGTAAAAGTTCGATCCTTGATGATTTGATATGGTGTTTTTTTAGAAGAATGTTCATTTTCTAGTAACGTTATTTCTTCCGGTTCCCACGTGTAGATGGAGCTGGCGTTGTGGGATACAGCAGGTCAAGAAGACTATGATCGACTCCGCCCGCTGTCCTACCCAGATACTGACGTCATCCTCATGTGTTTTTCCATCGACAGCCCAGACAGCCTTGAGAACATCCGAGAAAAGTGGAACCCGGAAGTGAAGCATTTCTGCCCCAGCGTTCCCGTCATCCTCGTCGGCAACAAGAAAGATACCCGTAATGACGACCACATCAAGGCTGAGTTGGCGAGAAACAAACAATTTCCGGTTAAACCGGAAGAGGGTCGTAATATGGCAGAGCGAATTGGAGCAGAAAAGTATCTCGAATGTTCGGCTAAAATGATGGAGGGTGTGAGGGAGGTTTTCGAAACAGCAGCTCGTATAGCTCTGAACACGAAGACAACGAAGAAAAAGTCAAAGAAACAACATAAATGTGAAATCCTGTGAAGTAGTGGACCTACTGAAACAATATCATGATAGGAAAAGAAACATATTCATACAAATAAATAGTAAACAGAATAGTGCAAGTCCGTTCAGAGGTTCTTCCGCAAAATATTTGTGAGGATTTCATATGGATTGAAATAATAATGATCAAAATGTGTCACATGTCCTACATATTTGATACCATACAGATTTGGTAAATATAAGATCAATATAAAACACGTTGTGATATATTTGATTTGATTAACCATAATGTCAGTTTTTTTACATTTGTTTGTTGTTTGACGCCGTACTCAGCAATATGTTTGTGAAAAATAAATCAAGTCTTGACCAGACAGTCTAGTCCACTCACTCACTCACTCAATTCTTGTTTTAACCGAGCCCGGGCTGGGCCATGGTCTTGACATTCCAGTACGAAACGAGCAATGGATTCAGGTTGATGGCAAGAGCATACATTTTTTGTGACCAAGTTTGAGGCGTAAGATGGCTACTTCAACTTTCCTTTCATTTGAGTATGAGTATGTTTTTTTGAGGATTTTGGATTGAATTTTGTATGGTAATCTGCCGATCTTACTTTTTTGGCTATGGAGGCTTTGCTTTTGCTTTTTATCTCTTGTTTGCTGAAGGGAACAAGCTGTATATCCGCTGTGTCTTGAGCCAGCGTGTCTGCTTTTCATTTCCATGAATTTATACGTGAGACGGGATCCAACACATCCCATGGCTCGACAGTTTTGTATATTCGTATAGAATATTATTGCCTGTGTTCTGGAGTTTGAGTTTCTGGCTCGGTTTGAGGCAGGGCTTGAAATGCACTTAACGAGTCTGATAGGATGACTGCCTTTGCTTCCGGTAATTCAGGCATGAGTTTGAGTGCATGAAGAATTGCCTCCAATTCAGAAGTGAACACTGACTGACATTAGCCTAAAAGAAAACTAAAAAGCAGAGGGAATTGAGCATTTAAGGTACGGAAGCAATTCATGGAATTACTTGAATCAAACCTGCTGGGACAGTGTAGTTCTAGTTATCCTGCAAGTTATGTTTCTTACTTCCAGAGCTTGTTTCTCTCACCTTACCTGTGTATGAAACAGTCATAAAAACACCTGGTTCTATAGAGGTCTGCGGTGCAGCATCTTCCCGAGGCAAGAGAGTTAACTGACTTTAAAAGGCCAGTTTCCACCCTTGCCGAACTAGGCTTGAATTCCTGGGCTCGATCGGAGCGCCACCAGTGGTTATTACGAGTTATGTCCCTTCTAAACCTCTCCCAGCCTAGTTCGGCAAGGGTGGAAACTGGACTTTTATAGATCAGTTAACAACTCTCTTGCCTCGGGAAGATGGCGGTGCAGTGACCATTTCCAGTTTCGACTTTGACCTTATCCTGACTGAAATTATTGGTGCAGATATCAAATTGTGAATAATTAAGCAGACACACATTGGGATTTGAATGACATGTCTCAAACTGGCTAGGACTGCCTGTTTCCCAGAGCCTTGTCTCCCTTTAAATCAACAGCATCTCAAAACAATGATATTTTAGGTAAAGTTTAGTTAATAGGTGTCACGTGATTCATTCTAAAAGCAAAATTAGGGGTGACCTGTGATAACGGCATCTCAGTGTCAGAATGTGGTTTGTAACGTACATGTTGTTGATATGACGCTTTGTGTGTGTCAGTCCATATATCATAAACACTACATGTACAGTGTCTTGTGCAAGAGTACATCGATTATCTCCCTTGAATGGCAAGTCTCATGTACACTGTGCATCAAGATATTTTATGTAACTTACACCTACAGAATGGCAACGTGACATGTCGATACAGAAATGACAGAATAGTGTCTACTCCCTAGGTTATCCCCCATACTTAGATATGTAAATATTTGTTGACATTTATTAAATGGAAAAGAAAGTTTCACTCTCAGTCTTGACATATTTGTTCAGTGATAAATCAAATACAGTAAACTAAGGTTATAGCGAACACGCTTATAACGAACTGACGGATATAACGTACTTACTTTTTTGTCCCTAAAATTTGCTGTAGGTATGCTGTATATATGCCTATAACAAACTACGGTTATAACGAACTACCATTAGTGGTCCCTTTGAGTTCGTTATAACCGTAGTTTACTGTATCTGGTACATAAATGCCATATTCGAGTGTTATTTATGATTCCACCATATATTTGGATATGCCACTTTAAATTTCTGATATTTAATTGTGAATAAAATCATATTGTTTTTACTATTTGTTCATGCACAGTTGTGTCATTTTTGTCTATAAATTAATACAGGAGTTTGAAATCGGATGCAGAACATGGGCTTGGCAGCTCATGTTGTAAATCCCACTACATCATACAGTTACCAACCTGTTGGTCATATGATCAGAGGTTCTCTCTGTTGACAATAACAAGTATGGACCAACATATCGGGATCAGCCTCAAACCAATTTGGATCACAACTTTAACACCATTATGGATACTACCGATGCATGTGTCACAAATGGGCCCAAAGAGAAGAGGAACCTGTTGAATGTGTGTGATATTGTCATTTGGAGAACGCACAAACTGAAACAGAGGCAACACAATTTGAAACAAACATATTCTGTCTCAGACAGCTGTCATAAAAAAGCTGGCTACCCTACATGAAAAGTTTGTACTTATTACCACCGACAAGGCATTAAATAACGTAACCATTTTATGTAAGCATCTAAATAATGCTACATATAGGGCCTGTATGTTAACTGAGGACAAAAGCTGTCCAAATAAGTACTACTTGATTCTTAATTTTAACCTGAAGACATGTCCATTCCTCTTTTGTACTGGATTCCAAAGCTCCACAAAGATCCGCATAAAAAAAAGATATATTGCTGGGTCGAGCAAACGTACCACCAAATCCCAGTTTAAAAAAATAGCCATAATCCTAAATTCAATCAAGGGAAGATTTTCTACAGAAAGTATTTGAAACAATTGGAATAAGACTTTCTCAAAACTCCAAAGATTTACTTGATTTTTTTTGCGATCTAAGAAAAGAACTAACTTCAATTTTCTCCAAAAGTTTGATTTTTCAACTGTATACACCACTATCTTAAACGACTTTAGGAAAAACTTCATTCCTTGATCCATAGGGCATTTGTCACTAAACGCGGTGATCGTAAATATAGTTGAATAAAATATTACATATGTATCTTCAGAGCTTCAGGACAATCTGTCGAAAATGAGAGAAAATGTCATCTGAGATGTTTACTGAGAAAATGTGTGAAATGATGGATTTCCTCATTGATAACATCTATATAAAGAATGGGAGTCAGACATTTAGGCAAGAAGCTGGCATTCCCATTGGCACCACATATGCCTCCATCCTTGCTGACATGTTTCTTTATGCATACGAATTGGAATTACTGCACTGATTGGCATAATAAAAACAAGAGAACTCGGCCAAGATGTTTTTCTGAAACCGTCACTGGGCGTCTTCAAGTCAAGAGTGAAGACCCATCTCTTTCCACGAGACGCCTACGATCCACCCTATAGGCTTAGTTGATATGTATCCCAGCATCCCACGATTACCAGCTCTGAAATGATCTAAAAACCATAACTCTAAGCCAGGATCTAGATTTTCGAAACGATCTTAGCTAAGATAAATCTTCAAAGATAAGATATCTTAAGGTTAAGATAAAATAGATTTTCGAAACTATCGTAAAGCTGTCGCAGATCGTTGAAGGCTGCGATACCTATCATAACTCTGACAGAGAACTCATTTGTGTTAGATTGAAAAAGCGGGGTGTTTCCCCATGACGTCACGGGGATTTCCCAGCTGCTGACAATAATAACATAGAAAAGTGACACGGAATTCATGATCACATTGTCAGGCCACATTGTTTAACATGCAACTATTTGAGTGACATTCAGTACAATCCTACATACGTCCTACATGTAGACGTTTTGTTTTTATGATAAAAGATGCCATGACTACCCGAATGCAAATATTATTCGTGTGGCATGCAAGGGCATTTTGCAAACCAAATAAGTGCCATAATCAATAAGTGTAGTGTTACCACACTATTGCTATTAGAATTGAACAAATGTGCTAAAAGATGCTTCACTATTTTCCCTTCAAATGGTTCCCCTCGCGAGCACGCAGAGCTTTATGTTAACACATCGCGTACAAAGTCAAGGACGAAAGTAAGGGACTTTATTCTTCATGACAATGCCGAGACCTTTGATCGAACAGCAGGCGTTATTGCGTTGAATCGAGCGCATTACAAGTGCTCTTCTTCTCGTCTTCTTAATCACCATCATTATCATTATTAGTAGTGTACAATCGAGCTCAATAGATCGAAGTTACATCCAGGAAACCGTATGGCGTTGATTGCTAAGGAGGAATACCGACAGTGTCAGTGGTCGACTGATGGTTCGAGAATAAATTTAACTTTTTCAGTGTCCTTGTGTTCTAACTTGAATGACCATAAGATGAAGCTATTCTTAAATAACGATGTTTCTGCTACTGTCAAGTTTGCACACATACTTAGAAGGAGCACTTTGTTGATGCGTACCAATAGAAATCTTAGCGATGTCTATAACAGGGCATATATCAATATTCATGCAGAACCGGTTTCCGTTTTGGTCTGTTAAACCAAGAAAAATTGTTATTTATTTTCATTTTAATGCACCCGTATCGTAGTTAAGAAACGAAATAAAACACGAGCTTTCGCTCAGTCAGATACGGTTGGAAGTCCACTTCCTTCGTTAAAATTAATATCTCCATCTACTTCATGCCATGAACATTATATTGTTTAAAGCACCATTAATGTACCATTACAGACTTTGATTTAAACCATTATCAAAACATTTGTTCAGTGTAAATTGACTTATGGTAAACGAATCCACATTTAACGCTTCTATTAGGTTTATCATACCAAGATATTTTGATATGCCATAAATTCTATTGGATTATACATGTATCTGCTTTTCTGAACATAAATAG